GAGTTTTGCCTATGGGGAGTAGGAGGTCACTACAGAGAAAATGAGGCAAAAAATTGCTGTTTTATATGGGTGCTTGTCCTTAGTGGAGGTCCTGAGGGGTGTGGAAGTGTATATGTGTTGATCTCAGAGAAAGGGTTGAGTAAATCAAGCCATATGGATTGAGTGTCTTCATTTGAACTGTGTTATAATTATGTTTACAATGTGTTGAGTTTTGTGTTTGTGTTTACAATTTGAAATAAGTTTAATTCTTATGTTTGCTATGAGTTTAAAGGATTTCAGAGGCTGTTAATAACTTTGTTGGAGACCTGGGTTAGTTAACATGATTACCTATACAATATTTCTAACACATTATACAAATGTATAAATTCTTCCCACAGCCCTGATGTTGGGAAAGATTGCAGGCAAAAGGAGAATGGGATAGCAGAGGATGAGATGGTTAGATAGTGTCATCCAGGTAATGAATATGAACTTATGGAAACTCCAGGAGATGGGGGGGAACATGCTATGGTTCATGGGGTTACAAACGGTCAGACATGACTTAGCGACTGAACAACAAATGGAGAGATGACTGGATTCAAAACCTCAGCCTCTATTTACCCATTGCAACAATAAATTGCACATTTGTCTCATGCCTTTTCCTCCCTCAACCTCTGCTTCCACTAATTTGCTAGGGATTGTTGGAAGAAATACCCTTCTGGGTTCAGTTCCAAGTGGGGAAAAAGACACTGGAGACATGCGGGCTGTTTAGAAGGTTGGAGGCTGTTTAATGGTAGACAGCAGGACCACAGGGCTTGAAGCTCCAGAGTGAAAAGGAAGGATGATCACATGCTTCAAGGTGAAGGAAGAGATCAAGAAAAAAGGCTGAGGTGCTGAGAGTGCCTGGGTTTTATAACCTTTGTTGGGATTTGAATTGGAGCTTGTATTCTGATTGGTTGTCAGACTCCCATGGGGCATGCAGGGGCAACTGTAGGCTGTCCTGAGTTCCAGGCTTGGTTGAGCCTTGCTGGATGATTACGCCCTTAAAAGGGCTGTTGGCAATTGCTATAGCTTTACCTGCAGATCTTTGTTATGTAAAGTATTCTGGCCCAGGCCTTAATGGACCACCCATTAACAAAGGTGGGGGTGAGTTTCTGCTTCTGAGTTTCTACTCTTTTTAGAGGAAATATTCTTCCTTTTTAATATTTCCTAGGCTATTTCAATTTTCTAGGAGAGGGGTGGGTGCTAACTTCCTACAGGATGACCGCTCTTGGAAGGCAAATGCAATCCGCTGCCTTTTAAAATGGCTTTTCAACTGTGTGCCACATTTTAAAGCCCAGACCCAGAAAATGTTGGGTCGAAAGGGCAGGACCACCGGAATCTGCTAGTGCTGCTTTGGGATGGGAGGAGTGTTGGAAATAACTCAAAATCAATGAAAGAAACTTGGATCTTTGAAAACAAAGATAATTTATTTTCTAAAAAAATAGATAGTTTGCAAAGCGCCAGTGACCTTTTAGAACCTCAACAAGCAGCTTCAAATCAAAAGCCACACCTTTGAATTCCAAAATATACTTTATATACAGTTTCATCATGATGCCCAAGTTCCCTCCTTCTTGAGACGCATTCCCTCCCAACTTCAAATTCATTGGATATGCCCTCAGGTGTTGCAGCTAATCCTAGGATGTCTCCAAGGAAAATTCTCTCCTTCCGTTATGGTCTCATCCGTACCGCTCGGTACCTCTTAGTTTGGCTGCCTACATGGCATCTTTCCTTAGGGTTAAGGAATGTAGCATTCCCTCATCAGGGCCCCTTTCTAACTTCTGAAGATGCTGTAGGAAGTTAATACCCACCCCATTCCTAGAAAAATGAAATATCCTAGGAAATATTAAAAAGGCAGAATATTTCCCCTAAAAAGAGAAGTAGAAACTCAGAAGCAGAAACTCACCTCAGAAGCAGAAGCTCACCCCTACCTTTGTTAATGGGTGGGCCATTAAGGCCAGAGTATTCTACATAATAAAGGCCTCTGCCCATCTCACCACATGGCATCTGGGAAGATTGCCTCAGCCAGCACTCAGGTGAAGCCACGTGGTCCAGACAGCCTACAAAGTTAGCTAAGATCCCCACCCCTGGGAGTCTGACAGCTAATGGGATACATTACTTGCACAGGAACAGGAAACACTAAGGTGGGGCCCAACAGAGGTTATACAACAAAGGTACTCTCAGCCCTTTTTCACCCAGAAACTCCAAGGCATGTGATACTGTCCACCATTAAACCATCTTTCCAAACAGCCGCCATGTTTCCAGTGTCTTTTTCCCCACTTGGAACTGAACCCAGAAGGCTATTTTTTCCAACAATACAATTTTACAGTTTCATCTTATACTACTGAGAGAAAATTTTAAGTTACTCTTTTATAATGAACATTATATAGCAAGATTTGAAAACTCTTTGGTTCATTTTGTGTATGAAATAAACTAGAAGATTCTTTTCTTTCATTCCTTTTTGATGTGCCCCTGCTAGCTTCCTCCCTTTTTTGAACCCCCCCTCCCTTTTTTGGTTTCTACTGAAAGAACTTTTCACCTAAGCCAAAGGAGGCGCTAACATCCTGGCCCTGGTCATTCACATATAGATGATACATTCCACAAAGAAATGATACATTGTTAGAACAACAGGAAGATCTGACCAGGCTAGGGAGAATAAATAAGAACATACATCAAAGGTAAAGCTTGGCAGCCCAGGAATAAATAGAAGATAAAACATTGAGGCCCATGAAACAATGTCACGATGACTCCAAGTTGGTAGTTTAGCATGTAGAAAATAAGGGGGTGCCAGGGGAGGGCTTTCTAGGCATGACGTGTTCTGTGTAAGGGTATAAAATGTATTGTTAAAATAGAGAAACTTGCTCTCCTTGTACTCAATCCAATTGGGAAGGGTCTTGGAGGCTGCGCTTGCAACCGCTTTCCTTTCCTACAATAAACCTTTGAAATTGTGAACCAGAGACTTGTCTTTGTGTTGTGAGTATTTATACCATTATTTGGGAATTTTAAATCTCACAATCTCATTTTTCCAAATAGATTATTACAACCCCCCAAACATAATAGCAAAATATAAAAGGCATCATAATACATAAGAGAAAAATATAAAAAGGCAATGGAAAAACAGCATGTATATACAGGTAAAACTCAAAAAATTAGAATATCATGCAAAAGTTCACTTATTTCAATAATGCAACTTAAAAGGTGAAACTAATATATGAGATAGACTCATTACATGCAAAGCAAGATAGTTCAAGCCGTGATTTGTCATAATTGTGATGATTATGGCTTACAGCTCATGAAAACCCCAAATCCACAATCTCAGAAAATTAGAATATTACATGCAATCAATAAAACAAGGATTGTACATAGAACAATATCGGAGCTCTGAAAAGTATAAGCATGCATATGTACTCAGTACTTGGTTTGGGCCCCTTTTGCAGCAATTACTGCCTCAATGTGGCGTGGCATAGAAGCTATCAGCCTGTGGCACTGCTGAGGTGTTATGGAAGACCAGGATGCTTCAATAGCAGCCTTCAGCTCTTTTGCACTGTTTGGTCTCATGTCTCTATCTTTCTCTTGGCAATGCCCCATAGATTCTCTATGGGGTTCAGGTCAGGTGAGTCTGCTGGCCAATCAAGCACAGTAATCCCATGGTCATTGAACCAGGGTTTGGTGCTTTTGGCAGTGTGGGCAGGTGCCAAGTCCTGCTGGAAAATGAAGTCATCATCCCCATAAAGCTCGTTTGCTGAAGGAAGCATGAAGTGCTCCAAAATCTCCTGGTAGATGGCTGAGTTGACCCTGGACTTAATGAAGCACAGTGGACCAACACCAGATGATGACATGGCTCCCCAAATCAACACAGACTGTGGAAACTTCACACTGGACTTCAAGCATCTTGCACTGTGTGCCTCTCCATTCTTCCTCCAGACTCTGGGTCCTTGGTTTCCAAATGAGATGCAAAAGTTGCTCTCATCAGAAAAGAGGACTTTGGACCACTGAGCAACAGACCAGTTCTGTTTTTCTTTAGCCCAGGTAAGACACTTCTGATGTTGTTTGTTGTTCAGGAGCAGCTTGACAACAGGAATACAACATTTGAAGCCCATGTCCAGGATCTGTCTGTGTGTGGTGGCTCTTATTGCACTGACTCCAGCCTCAGTCCACTTGTTGTGAAAGTCCCCAACACTTTTGAATGGGCTTTTCCTGACAATCCTTTCCAGGCTGCGGTCATCCCTGCTGCTTGTGCACCTTTTTCTTCCACACTGTTCCCTTCCACATAACTTTCTATTAATGTGCTTTGATACAGCACTTTGGGAACATCCAACTTCTTTTGCAATTACCTTTTGAGGCTTTCCCGCCTTATGGAGGGTGTCAATAATGGTTTTCTGCACAACTGTCAGGTCAGCAGTCTTTCCCATGATTGTGCTTCCTACTGATCCAGTCTGAGAGACCATTTAAAGGCTCAGGAACCCTTTGCAGGTGTTACAGCTTAATTAGCTGATTAGAGTGGGACACTTTGAGCCTAGAATATTGAACCTTTTCACAACTTTCTAATTTTCTGAATTTGTGGATTTGGGGTTTTCATGAGCTGTAAGCCATAATCATCTCAATTATGACACATCACGGCTTGAACTATTTATCCCCATTTGTGAAACCTTTAAGCATCTTATATACCATTTTATTTTTGAATTTCCCTGATTTCTTACAGGAGGGAGGGCGGGGGTGATCTTCCACTCCCTCTGACCTATCCTAAAGTGTTGGGCATGATCTCATTAGGCAGGTTTCACTTCAGGCCGGGAAAAATTTGCAAGCTGTCGGTCTCCATGCGGATAAGGAGAGATCTTGGAAAATCTGACATTTGGCTCTTCCGACTCCCTCTCTATAGTGCGAACCGTTGCTTCCGCTGACGCCAGGGCCGTGTATTGTAACGTAAACTGTGTCCGTCATGTGGGGCATTGTGGGAGAGGGAGAATTGTCCCGTAGGAAGTCAGGTCGGAGGAAGGAGGAGGAAGAAGTGGGCTCTAGAAAGTTTCCATTTTGGCTGAGCAACCGCTGAAGACACCCCCCCCCCCCCGCTGGATCGTTGTTCCGTCTTTTCTGTCACTTGCTTCCTAGTTCCAACGTCACCAAGTGAGGTGGTCTCTGTGTGGCAAACGCTCTGCTTATATCCGGGAGCGGCTGAGGGAAAAGGATGGCTGCTGAGAGCCGGGAGGAACAAGGTACAGAATGTATCCTTTTCCTCCTCATCTTCCTCCTGAATCGCATGCTGCCATGCCAACGGGGCTACCTGTGGGAGGCACGATTAGTTGTGGAACCATCTCACTGTCGGCCCATGTCCCACGATTAGTAGTCCTTCCCTGCCCCGAGGTAAAGCTCGTTTTTCCCTCATTAAGGAAAAATCTCCTCCAGGGTTTAAGAGTTGACGCTAATTGCCACCTTCCCTCTCCTTGAAAAGGAGTTGGTTTCGGCTTCTGGATATTAACAGACGATGGTTTTGGAGGGTCCGGTCAGGAAATCGGGTGGAAGTCTAAGAAAGACTCATTTCATTGGATGGGACCCAGCTGCAAGGCGAGCATGGTTGGAGTCTGAAAAGTCGGAAAGAGTTAAAAATCTGTAGGGCATAAATTACCGTCTTACTGATTCTGGTTTTTATTACCTGTCTTTTGAGTGTAAGGATTGTTTCAGTAATCATAATTTACCCACAAGGCGAACCTGTTCTATTATCCATGTATGGAACTGAAGCTGAAATGATAAAGCCATTTTTTGAGGTAGATTTGGAATACAAGAATCTGAGTTTATAGCTTGCATGTGCAGCTGCTGTGGTATATCAGCGTTTTGATTTCGTGTAGTTTTTAGGGGAAACTAAATGTTTGCCCTGTTTACATTCTACATGCTACATACAATAAACTACACGCTGGGAAAGAGCTACCTTTTCTGGAACATACGGAAAGATGCAGTAGTCAGTCATACTCTGCTAGAGAGAAGTTCCCTGAGGATGGGCTCCAGCTTGGAAGATTAAACCTCTGGTCTGGGTGACCAACCTAGATTGGATCCTGCAGTATGCAGTATGGTGTAGCTAAGATTGTGGAGGCCTGCTTGAAGACCAGTCCTACCCACTGAAGCTCATGAAGTGGATTTTGGAAAATTTATCAACACAGTCTGTCTCACACAGTTATTGTGAGGCTAAATGAACAGAGATCCATATGTAAGCTGCTTTTAACTCCTGCAGAAAAGGTCCCTTGTTCATCTGTGTTTGAAAATGTGGATTTCTGGGAGAGTCAACATTCATTTCAATGACATTACTGAATTAGATGATACAGTAGACTAGCAGGTGTTGGACAGTATCTGCTTACAGAGTTTGCAGTTCTACTTTGGAAACTTAAGAATGGTATGAAGTACAAGCAGAGAATCTCTGCTATGTCTTTTCTCAGTCAGGTGGCTGTCCACTACCACCTGATCCAGTACACTGTCTACTACTGATCCAGTACACTAGTACTGGTAGTACTGGAGTAGTACTACCTGATTCAGGGGGAAAAAGTGACTGCTTACGTCCCCCCACCCCCCACACTATGAACTTTAGACAATTTATATGGCTGCCCACCTCACAAAAGTGACTCAACATCATGCAGGAATTGAAACATTTTACATTTTGTTTAATGTAACTTTTGTCATTAGTTCCTTAAACCGAGAGTTTAAACTTTACCGAGAGTAGAAGACATAGACAACACTGTCTGAAGATGTCCTGGACATTCCATCAAAAACTGATCTGGCCCTTAGGAATTTTAATTGTTTTTTAATGTTTTTGTTCATAATTTGCAAGCCTAAATATGCATGGCGAAGAAATGTCCTTGATTATATAAAATCTTACCTTCAGTCTTTTTCCAACCTATATGTTACATATTGTGTACATTCAAATTAGTGAACGTTCTTCTAAATCAGGGGTGTCAAACTGAAGGCCTGCTGGCTGGATCCGGCCCATGAGGTGCTTAGATCTGGCCTGTGGGGCTGCCCTGGAAACAGCGAAGGACTGCCCTGCAGTGCCTCTGCGCGGTCCCCCTGAGCTTCATTTTTTACTGTGATGGCCTCCTGCAGCCCTCTGCCAGTGAAAATTGAGCCCATGCAGGCCATGTGCAGCCCTCCTGAGCTCTGTTTTCGCTGGCAGAGGGCTGCAGGAGGCCATCCTGGCCAAAAACACCTCAACAAGTGACGTTCAGCTGGCCATGCCCACCCCAGCCACGCCCACCCTGGCCATGACCCCCCCACCCCCAGGGCCCCCAAGGTCAAACACAACCCTGATGTGGCCTTCAATGAAGGGCTACCAGACCGCATGGTATCAGATCGGTGGGTACAATTTACGGCACGTTTCCAGGTGGTGCCGCCATGTCTCAAAAGCGACCTTAACCGCCAAGAGCTCCTTGTCCCAAATCATATAGTTGTGCTCTGGAGCCAACAAATTCCGGGAATAATAAGTGCACAGGAACAAGGTGCCTGTGGGAGCATAGGCCTGGAGGAGCACTGCACCAACAGCCACATCGGAAGCATCTGTTTCCACCACAAATGGCTGGCCTGGATCAGGGTATTTGAGGATAGGCTTGGAAGCAAAGGCGACTTGCAACACCTCAAAAGCTGCCTGCTCCTCAGCACCCCAATGGAACTTCTCCCCCTTCTTGAGCAGATTAGAAAGGGGAGTGGTCAAGGCAGCAAAGCAGGGAATAAATGTGTGGTAGTAGTTCGCAACCCCCAACAGTCATTGTACATCCTTAACCCGCTGTGGAGGTTCCCACTCCTGCAACGATTGAATTTTTTCCGGGTCCATTTCCACCCCAGCAGGTAAAATAGGATGTCCCAAGAAGTCAATCGTGGTTTGTGAAAACTGACACTTCTCACGTTTAGCAAACAGGTGGTTATCACGCAAACATTGAAACACCAGCCGCATATGTTGCCAATGTTCCTGCAGGGAGTCTGAATAAATTAAAATGTCATCTAAATAAATGACCACGAATTGATCCAACAAATCACGGAAAACATCGTGCATGAAATGCATGAACACAGCTGGGGCATTGGTTAATCCAAAAGTCATCACGGTATACTCAAAATGCCCGTACCTCGTCCGGAAAGCTGTTTTCCACTCGTCTCCTGCACGAATGCGAACCAGATTGTAGGCCCCTGCAAATCCAACTTCATAAAGATCTTAGCTTGACGAAGCCGCTCAATCAGTTCAGGGATGAGGGAAAGCGGGTACCGATTCCTCACTGTGATTGCATGCAACTTGCGGTAATCACAACACAAACGTAGCTCCCCCGATTTCTTTTTTACAAAAAGCCGGATAAACCCTTTCTGGAGGTTCTTGTCAATAAAATCCTGCAATGTGGCCAACTCCGGTTCCGACAGGGAATATATCCGACCCACCGGCAATTTTGCATCGGGCAACAAGTTGATTGGACAGTCATACGCCTGATGCGGAGGCAACTGATCCGCCTCCTTCTCCCTAAACACATCACAAAAAGTCCACCAACTCCACAGGTAGATCCAGGTCCACAGGCGTAGCCACACTCCCTGCACAGGAGCGCAAGCAATGGTTGGCACACTTCCTATCAAGGAACTGCACAGCTCCAGACAACCAGACCATCTGTGGATCATAGGCCTGTAGCCACTCCAAACCCAGCACCATCGGAAAATGAGGCACTGCGGCAACGTAAACACGGTTTCCTCCACATGCTTCCCAATACGCATGCAAAGGAGTTTGGTTGCAGCAACCACAGGTCCCGAACGAAGGGGCCGACCATCAATTGTCTCCACCATTACTGGTGGGGATACCTGTTGCTGAGGAATGAACCACTGCTTGACAAAATGAGCATCTATGAAATTGGCCGTGGCCCCTTAGTTGACCACGGCTTGGATCTCCACCGCTCCCACACCAGGCACGAACACAGTTGCTTTCAGCACAAGATGCTTCACCAATAACAATTGTGCAGATGTTGAAGATGTCAAAGGTGGCGAGGGTGGCAAGGTTGGTGAAGATGGCGGATCTTTGGACTTTACACCCCAACCTACAGACCCCCGTAGGCCGAGCGATGCTCGTTTCCTGCCACCGCAGGTGTTACTGCTGTGGATGTCTTAATAGGACACTTGGCCGCAAAATGGGCTTGATTGCCACAACAGAGGCATAAACCATCACAACGACATCTATTCTTTTCTACTTGAGTCAGGCGAGGGAGGCCAGCCCCCAATTGCATGGGTTCCTCCAAAGGCACTTCCACGAAGGGTGCCATCTTGCTGGAAACAGATACGGTCTCTGTCCATCGTCGCACCCGTCGCTGCTGAAGTCTAGCATCAATACGAAGACACAAATGCATGAGCTCCTGAAGGGTTTGAGGGCATTCAGTGTGCGCCAACTCATCCAGGAGCTCCGACTACAAACCCTCCTGGAACTGGTCTAATAGTGCTGCCTCATTCCATTGTACATCCTGAGCAACCACCCGAAAACTAGCAATATAATCCATGAGTGAGCCGTGCCCCTGCTTCAACTCTCTCAAATGTCTGTTTGCTGTTTGGCTTCGAACAGGGTCCTCAAACATGGCCTGAAACTGATGGCAAAACTTGGCGTAATTGTCCAACACCTGGTTGGGCTGCGTCAGCAGAGACGTCGCCCAACGTGCTGCAGAGCCCGACAAACTAATCAAAAACCCACCTTTTTCTGGTCAGTGGGAAAGTCCTCAGGCTGAACGCTCATGTAAAGCTGGCACTGCCCTAGAAATGCTGGAAATTGGGCCAGTGAACCATCAAATTTATTTGGCACTGCCACTGGGCATTTTCGGCGTGGCTGGGCAGCTTGCATTTGTGCCACCTGTGCAGTCAAAAGAGCCACTTGCTGGGTTAACTGGGCAATCTCTGCTCTGAGCTGATCCATGGTCACCCCACAAAAAGCAAAAATAAGTTGAAGGGGTGGCTGAAGTCAAAATGTGATGACCTGTAGTCTCTCAAAATAACCCCAAACCCAAAACATGTATTAAAGTCTGGTAAAGCCTTCAAGTTAACTTCACTGTTTTATTAGGCACAGTTTAAAGTCACAAAAGTAAATAATGAGGCAAACAGAAAACCGAAACAAACTGCATTGATGAGAGTTCCGAAGCAAGCCAAGATAACTAATTATAAACTCCAGGAAAATAACCAAGAAAAGTCCATGGGAAGAACGCCAGCAAAGATAAGCTTCTTTCAAGGTGAACACTAAATTGACTTCAGCAATTCTAACTGCGCAGTTGCAAACATATACATAGCTCCCAGCTACAAGCCACGAGGAGGATCATGGTAATCTCCTCTGGAGTAGACCTCGCTTTTCCTTGATCCTCTCATCCCTGCATGACCTAGGATGGATAGGGGATGGGCCTGGATCCTCCTCTGACTGCTCAGCCAGCCTCTGCCCTTCCCCAGCCTCCTCCGCCACCTCTGGAGCCACACTCCCACTCCCTGTTGGCTGTTCCTCCTCTTCCTCAGAATCAGACTTCATCAGGGGCATGACATAGACAAGTAAAATATTGTTATAGAATTAATATCATGGTGGATGAATATTATTGTAAACATTGTAATTATGATTTCCTAAAAATAATTGTACCCAGTCAGCACAATGATTGAAATTGAATTGTTACATGTTATATAAATAAAACAAAAAATTTGATAAAAAGGGAAGATGCGTTTATATTTGCTCAGCCATTTCAGGCTACCAGCCTTACTAAGTGTAGCTATGTTATTTTGGGCAACTCTTTTTTTTTTTTGTACTCTTGTTACACAGGGGGCAGGGAGACCACAGCTCTTTATATAATTTGTCAATTTAGTAATCCAGAAGGTTTGTGATTGCAATTTTATCTGCTCCAGTAGACATAGCTTAGGGAGTCTATCTGTCTCCATTTCATTAATTTTGAGGCAGTAGCTGTAAGCTCTAATTTTAGACAGTGCTTGAATTGTGTTGATTCCCAGTTCTGCTCTGACTGCTGCAGCAGATGCCTTAGGGTCCACACCCAAAATACATCTTAGGTGCTGAGACTGTGCTTGCTTTAAAGCTGTAATGGGGTGTAAACCCCAAACCTCAGCTCTGTATAGGAACATAGGGATTATGTTAGCTTTATATACTTCGATTAATGGTACTAGGGAGCCTGGATAACTGTGATTCTTTAATTTGAGTAATAGATTCAAGCGAACTTTTACTCTAAGTGTGCTCCATTGGTGGTTACAAGCCCAAGATCCGGTCTTGGAAAAAGTTATGAAGGTGCTAACCTGTTCAATTTGTTCCCTGTATAGTTGCCATCTTTGTCTCTGGTTATGTTTAACAAACACCATAATTTTTATATGGATTTGCTAATTGAGTTATTCTGGCAGTAGTAGCTAAATATTGCCTATGCAATCCATCATCATAGGGTCTTTCATTAATCCTGGCAAGCCTCTCCACTGTAACCTCTCTGTCCTGAGGCCCCCAGTCCACATAGGCTGGCCAAACTTCATGGGTAAGGCTTTGGAATGTGAGCTTTGCTATTTACTTCTTCATCTAGCTTATTAATATGTTTTCCCATTAGAGACTTTAGTTCTTTAATCCCTCTGTTTGCTTCCAGGAGCTGGTCAAATATGGCAGAGACTCTTTGTGCTGTTAGTAGGCAATTCTTGGCGACCAAATCCAAGTCTCCTTTAAAATTGCTCCTACTATTATTCTTGTCCCCCCCAGCTCCTACTGTAGCTGGAACTCCCTCCTCCACAGAGAAGCAATCATCCTCTTCCCAATCCAGTAAGGGGCTAGGTTTGTTTGACGGGGGAGAAAAGAGAAAAGGAGTCTTACTTGCAGTGTCTGTTATCTGGAAAAAGTCTTTTATCTTGGGTTGTCTTGATGTTGTCTCCAAGAGAGGTTTGCCTGTTACAATTTGTTGCCTGACTATCACAGGTCTATTAAAAAGTATTTATACGGAAAAAGTAAAAGGTTGAAACAATCTTATCAATCCTGGTTCATTGATAAAACCACAGAAGGAAAACATTCACTCTGTTGCTGCTCCTCCATGTTAATCTCTAAAAACAGCATATAAAAATTAAAAATTTTAAAAAGAGGCAAGAGTGATTAAACCCTGTTTAGGTAAGGCCTAAAAATAATTGAAATATTAAAACATTAAAACTACATAGATTAAGATTTTAAAAACTAACAAGTAGTATTAGAAACCAGGTTTTCTATTTGAAAAGTAAAAGCATTAAATTGCACCAGGCTGCTCTGGCTAAAGTTTCTTCCTTGTCGGTGGCTTGGGAGGGACTGAGAACCAGATGAGTTCATGGCTACCTGAAATGTGCTTGCAGAGGCTGCTGGACACAGAGTGGGTGGCCCCATGCCTCTGCCTCCACCTGCAAGGTGGTGAGGCAAGGGTGGCACGCTGGGGCCCCTGCATGCTCTGCCCCTGCCATCCAATGTCATCCTCCAGCTCCGCAATAGACATGGGATGACGCTCCCATGGCTGCCCACCCACTCCGTCCCACCGTCTGTCTTTGCTTCCCATGGCCATGACAGGGCAGTGCGTCTGGTGGGACCATTTGCCTGCCTCCCCCCGTGCTTCTGCCTCCACCTGCTGCATGGAGGGCCGGCCTGGCGGTCACAGCTGTCAGACTCACCTGCGCTGCACGGGTTGCACAGCTCCAGAGTGCATCATCCAAGGGGCCAGCAGGCTGCAGCAGCTGCCAGACACCGTCAGCCTCCACATGCTCGCTGCCTCTTGTGCACATGCAGGGGATGGGGCGTGATCACACTGATGCCATATTTTCCCCAAAATAAGGCCTATTGCGACTTTTGGAGCTAAAAAAAAAATAAGACCATGTCTTATTTTCAGGGAAACACAGTAGTTATTTAAAGAAAGAACTCAGTTTCCACTTTGATTCTATATAAACTTGAATGGAATGGAAAAGGCATGGTACTAATAAAAATTTGTAGGATAATGGCCCGTTGTAGCTTTCTATTAATTTTTTTTAATTATACTTTATCATACTGTATATAAATATCATTTTTAATGTCTTCATAGATGGTGAATTGAATGTTCTTGATGATATCTTGACTGATGCACCTGGTCATGATGATGACTTGTATAACCCTGAGAGTGAGCAAGATAAAAGTGAAAAGAAGGTTATGCTACATTACAACTTACCTCTGACTCCAGAAAGCTGGGTAACTGGATTTTGGAGCCAAACTTGATATGACACCTGTTGGATAATTTACCATTGTATAAAAGGCTTTGCATATAGTCAAGGCCTTAGAGTAGTATACTGGTGGCAATACTTGCTGAACATTTTTTTTTCTTTTTTTCATTTCCTAAAAGCAATTTGTGTTGTGAATTCCCTATGAAATATTCTCTCTTCCCATTACTCCTATCTTTTCAAACACATCTTGGCCTATTTAGCGTATGTTATCTTAACACTCCAGTGTGCGCTAAAACAGTGGTCCCCAACCTTTTTGGTATAGGGACGGATTTTGTGGAAGACATTTTTTCCATGGACAGGGGTGGTGAGGGAGGAAGGATGGTTTCAGGATGTATTTGCAGCCGCTCCCCAGTGCTAGTGTCACTGCCTCAAATCTACCTGGGATCATCAGACATTAGATTCTCATCAGGAGCGTGCAACCTAGATCCATCTCATGCAGTTTTCAGTAGGGTTTGCACTCCTATGAGAATCTAATGATTGAGAATCTGATGATTTGAGGTGGAGCTGAGGTGGTGATGCTAATTCTGGGGAGCAGGTGTGCTCGTTTGCCCGCTACTCACCTCCAGCTGTGCAGCCTGGTTCCTAACAGACCATGAACTGGTACTGGTCCATGACCCAGTGGTTCGGGACCCCAGTGTTAAAAGATTATTATAGAATATTGAAGATGAAGATTGTATTCTTCATACTTTTAAATGTTCTGAACAGTTATTCAGACACTGTCAGGTAGTGCTCCATTCAAAATTCAAGAAAGAAATACTTAGACTC